GATTATTCATATGTTTCTCATTTGAAAATTGTAAGATTCGGTGAGATTGTGCGTAACAAAGAGTGCATCCGCATTTTTGCTTTCTTTTCCTTTTTTTCCGCGATTAATATATCTTAAAGTAAATATATAAATAATATTTTATTATATTGCGTGTATTATTAACAATATTAATAACTCATATTCATAATCGATAAACATATGCAATTTAAAAAATTGGCAGGACTATTAATATAGATTTTAATATTTTATATCAATTTTTGAGGAATTTTTTATCGCTGCATTAATATTACAGTCAAATTATTATTAATTTCTATAAATCACTTGTGAATCTCATTCATTAATTACGTAAAAGCTAAATTGCACATGCATTAATCAAAGATATTAATGCTTACTGTGTACATACGATTCTTGGCTGCATTCCGAACGACCATGAAATTAATCAGCAATTCATCTTCTTTCTACATTGATTCAACATTTTTCACCGTTAAAATCATCTAGGAAAGATGATTGGCACGGTTTCAGAGATTAAAGGTCAAATTTAATACTCGTCGCCATCACAAGTCAAATAACGTGTTAGATTAAATTGATTGAATTGATCCTATAGTTTTAGTAAAAGATTTTTATGTTTCACAATATAGGAAGACAAAGAAAAAAAATTACGTCAGTCTAATTTAAGAAACATCAGCTGGAAATTTTTCAACTGCACATTTATATTTCTCGTTAGCAATTTTATATACTTTAATCACGTGGGAAATATTGTAGATTTTTCATAAAATATTTATTACATGATCGCGTTATATATTCAAAATATAGAATGTGTTATCATATCCGAAGCTTTTTGGTGGAACATTTTCTCTATATGCGGCTTTTCCGAAATAATCAGCATTCTCTAAAGAAATCAGGTCTGACATTGATAGATATAAGAATGCGGTTGGAACTATAATGAGAGATAACTATACGCGAACGCGCAGCATCCGCTATTCAGGCGACAGCTGGAGAATGCTTGTGTCACCTGTTACACCCGTCATTCGCCCCTTCGCGCTTTCCCGACATTCTGGCTGCTATTACGTTCTCTACGTCGCCGAGATATGCTAACATCGGTAACCGGAACTGGAGCACCATCGATTATCGATGTCTGGCGTCGCGCGAGGAAAATACGGATCACAATTGGAAATTCAGTGCACGCGAAACGCCGGAGCCAATTTCGAACAATCCGTGAAATGTTCGCGGCCGCGTTACAACCGCATTTCACCGGCACCTGACGTGAAAAAAAGTCCGGTCGGGAGCGATGAATAAAAGTAAAATGGCGCGTTTACGGGCTCGCGAACGACCGGCGAGTATAATTTATCATACACCGCAGAAATTTTACGGCAGTCGGATATATGTCTTTATCATCCCAATCTAACCGTGCGGAAGACTTTTATCCGATTATGCAGTCGCGCACAACAAAAGGAATCGATACTATTACACTTAGTTTCCGTTTCCGGATGCCAATTTCCTGATCCATAATCGCGCACGGGATATCAAACGCGGTAAATTAAAGCCGCGATGTCCGCGCTTTAAAAGGGCACTTGGCCAGATAGATAATTCGTTTGATCGGTTCCTGCGCGATAGATTACATCCCTCGTGAGGATCGATATCGCCATTATCCATCCATCTTGCCAAACGAACCATCGAATTCACTTCTCGCGATAAGAGACGTTGTCAAGGAAACGAGCGATTCATCACCGTCATCTTCATCGGCCGTTTTACGGTCCGATGACGATACTGAGGTAATCTCAGCCGTCGCCGTGGGTGGTGAAGCTCTCTCTAAATATTTGGCCGAGTATATTTATCGGCGTGCACACGCGTGAGAATGTGCGCGCGTACACGGATTTCGGCCCGCGGAGTAAGGAGACACGGAAAACGGCCCGACTGGATCCCCTCGATCGGCTAAAAATACACGTCGCAATAAACTCAAGGGTGACGTCCACCGCCGCGTATCGACGACGTTTTTAGCCGTCCTTCTTCCTCTCTTCGAACTTTTGTGTTTTCTTCTCACCGACCGCACCTCACCGTTCCTCAAGATTACGTTCCGCAATGTTTACGCTATTTACGCGCCACCTATAAACTTGGGATAATTTCATCAACGTCGCTCATATTCTCGAAGCGTGAAAATAAGCAGCGAGGAGAATACCAATTTTTCGGTCGCATTATTCGTAGGGGATGAAGCCGCTTTTTAATAAAGCCGCTTCTTCTAACTCGAATTTGTTTCCTCACTCGAGAAGTTTCGTATATATTTCGGTCCAAGCGATAACAGTTATGAAACACTAACGCGTAGTTGTGTGTGCTCACTGATTGCATCAACATTTGCCTTTCTGAAGGGTTTATTATGATAAGACACCTGCACAGTGTAACGTTGTGTCAAGGATAATTAATAATAACATCGTGTCTTCAAGTTCAAAGTCCTTGAGAATCAAGACCTAAAATATTGTGCATACATACTATATTCTCGCTGTCCGAATCACAGTTACGCGATTCGATTCCCTCGCTGAAAATGTTCAGATTTGTATTTCGACTTTTTCGAAATTTTATTACTGTGAAATTTGCAATGCAACAGTTGTTAACGATTTCAATATTTGCATTTCATCAAAAAATTTCAATATATCTGATATTACTTATAATAAATATTATCACTTTTCTATAAGAGAAACTTTATTTTTTGGGCAAATTGTTTGAAATAGAAATATTTATAAGGACGAATTGTATTACCATAAATTTCAAATAAATGTAGATAGATATTTTTAGATTTATATTTAAAGTTTTGAATAAAATTTGAGATCGGCTAATTTGGCGACATATATAATATGATGCGGCATTCTATAAATTTCTCATGCATGAGAAGCATACTTGTGGCGTTCTTGCAAGAATATTCGTACGTTGCTGACGTTCATGGAAGACGACCTGGCCTCTTTGAGCTCGTCGTTGCGGTGTCGTGGTCGCGATTAAACGCGAAAGCGCACACAAGAGAGTGCTCTATCCTGTCGATGGTAAACCCGTGAAAACCGCGGTAGATCTACTTTAATCACCCTTTACGACGCGATATAAATAGCCCTTCAGTTATTTATCACTTACTCTCCATAAAAATCTTTTCCCACCAGCAGCGAAGATACGATAAAAGTTTTAGCCGAAGCCGATTTACATTATTCCGAGGAATAATTATCTCCGAATTAATAACTGGCGCATCGCATTAACGAATTTCCTCGATTTTATAGCAACAAAGTGTGACGGATAACGCTATTATATATCCTTGAAGATACGCATCACTGATAATACGATAAAGTGTGGATCGTTCATATACGTATATTTTGTAAGTGTTAACGTTATAATTTCCGTAGAAAAACTTGTCCTTCACGGTAGACTGCAACGTCAAATTAATGTAAAAACAATTCATATTAAAACCGTGTAATAACGATGAAAAATAGTCCGGACTTTTCGACGCGTGCTCGAGACCATTAATTCACTCGCCATGGACATTAATCATCGGGACGATCGAAATCGACGACCGAGCGCCGCTTCGTGCGAAAGGATCATTCTTTACGTGGACGATTTCGCGACAGCGAGCGGCCAAGACCTGTCATCCCCGGAATTTCGCGCCGAGGATGTTTACGTCTTGTCCATCGAACCGGACGGTCCGCGAAGATGTCATCGCTCCAGTCTGTATCCACCCGACAGTTCGAATTTCCATCTGGACGATCGTTCGATTCTTTATCCCTTGAAATCCAGCGAGAGATCGCCCTCTTCTAATCTGCTCTACTCTCAATCGAGCACCCCGAGACGCTCCAGATGCAATTTAGATGTCGATCAACGATCCAGCAGACGTTCCAGCATGCAGTCGAATCGCTCGAGAACCAACAGCTGCAGCAGAGCGACTCCTTTAGGTAGGAGGAACACGTAAATAAATGGAAGGGAATCTATTTTTCATTACTAATCGCAAACTCGCTCTCGAATAATTACCGTATAACACATTGTTGCGATGTATTTTCTCGTGCTAAAATAGTCTTCTCGCGACCTTAAAATATAATCGGATTAAGTCAATCTGCTCTTTGCCGATTTCGTGACGTCACTATGCTCGAATATGCATTAAAGATGCATCAGATATCGCATTTAGCCTTGAAGCATCCAAAAGCGATTATCGCGTCTATCGATCAATTTCTGTGGGCGTGAGGAAAAGCGCTTTAACATTAATACGCGACGACGACGTTGAAACTTCAGGGGATGATAGAAGAGCCAGTGTTAGCAAGAAAACCAGGCCACGGAGGGCAAGTACCGCTACTTCACGAAAGGATTCGGTTCGTCCCACAAAGACGGATGTTAAGCAGACGCAGAAGATAATAGAGGATACTCAACAGCTTGAGCAGACGAGGCGTCATCGCCGAATCGCCATGATCGTTCTGGGGATTTTTATCTTTCTTCTCACGGCCTCGATACTGGTGGTGGTCATCACCTTGACTCACAGCACCTTCCTGAATCCTGCGACAGGCTCGAAGGAACTGGCCGAGCACAGAGCGCAACGTAAATCATCATTTTTTTGCACAACACTAACTCGAAATCATGGAACATACGTCTGAAACTATATTTCTAACCATAATCGCCAGTTGTAATATATTTTTCTTCCTCGCCGTCTTCAAGCTTAACTTCTTTTTAACTGTTTTAAAAGTCGATTCAACTTCCACGATTATTTTTTTATCATAAACGATTACGTTTGATAGGCGAATAATTCAAGTCTGCGCTGTTGTTCATTCATGAGTTATATAAAGTTAGCCGCGTCGTCAAAGTTAAGAAGAATCTATTCCGATGCGAGAAGAAAGTAACATAAATCTGCATCTTCCTCGCTCCATTTCCGAAAACGAGCACGTGCGACGACGATGTTGCATTGTATACACTTGTGCAAAGATATGTGTACTTCCGTTCCGAGCAAGTTTCGAGCTTTACTCACTGACGTTGTGTTGTTGTTTCAGTGCGGAAGGAGAACGAGGAACTGCTGAACTCTCTGAACAGGGACATTTCCGTGCCTGAGAACGTTACAGCGCCGCCCTAAAGCGGAGTAATCAAAACGAAAGTGCATCGCTTGTCAATCTCGTTCTCGATTGCCTTCAGCCACGTGTGACACGAAATCCTCGTCCCGCGAGGGATCGCAACTTCAACGTCGGCGTTTTACGAAGTGCGAATCATCCGGACGATTCAGGGAAGAAATCTCGAGACAAACGGTGAGATAGATTGGCAGTTTTGGCGTATTCATCTCTTCAGCAATTGTCATCGAATCGATAGCACGCTGATTAGGTGTATCGCTGCTTTAACACGACGCTTCAAATATTATACGCGCGTCTTTGTATACGACGTCGCGATAAGGTTGTTGCAAAATATATTCGCAAAAAATCTGACATCGCGATACCCGACATACTATATTGTACTGTTGATTGTATTGTTGCCACATTTAGAAGCGGCGTACATATGTATATGTGTATATATGTATATACACCGTTATATCGTATCAATGCAGACTGGGTGCCCTCGATTCCAGATGGCTTCGTCAATAGCTAACTCCGATCAGAAGCACCAGACCAGCGTTCAATCTGAATTATTGGTGAAGTTCGACGCGCCAAATTAATTTACTCGACAGTGACATTTTTATCCGAGATGAATATCTTGCAAATTCTACAATTGGAAATTCCGAATAAGCTCGCAACATTGTATATATTATCTGGATAATTATCTCGATAATTGTTTCTGACGTATATATTATTATCATTACTACTACTCAACAAATTACTCGGTCGTAATAATATCGTAAGCATGAAATATGTCATGATAAATCGTACCGCATGTTCCGCGGAGTGCCTGATTTGCGTTGAAACGAATCATAATAATTCTTTAAGATCGCAATACTTGTGATGAGAGCTCGCGAAGTAGTTTGCGAATTTCAATCCGACGATAAAAGTCGCACGCACCGAAATGCCAACAACGAAAGGATCGATTAGAAAAAAAGTGACGCGTGAGAAAATGTGGTGCCGTAGACCTATAGCATCTGATCGTTTGTCTGTCGGCAAAGGAAACGACGTGTACATGAAACCTCCCTTCTCTACACTTATTCGAGTGCATGTACGTGGCCCGAATCGGGGATACACGTGAGTATCGATCTGCGTCATCAACACGCGAATACGGGCTTCATACGTCACGGATTCGCGCGAAATCGTGTCGCAGGGCAAAAACGCGACGTAGATAATATATAATATAGCTCCTTTTGTGCTTTTTTACATGTCTTCCAGGACACGAGAAAAGGAACGCGATGAACTCGATGAACGGAGGTTCTCACCCAGGTTGATTCCTTAACGCCGCGATGACGTTCACGATATTCTCGCGCATGTAGAAAGCTGTACATAAAAGAACGTTTGTTATTTAACATTATCGTTTGTAGTTACACGTTGAGAGGCTAGTTGAGATAAGGGCCAAATTGTTGTTGTCGATTTGTAAGATAAAATGTCGCATAGAAGACGTTCGTTGAGATCGCGCGCGATACAAAAAGGGAAGAAAAAAGGAGAATCGGAGCACACGAGTCAGTTAAATTAAAGTGTGAATGGATGTGTATGTGTGTGTGAATCGTGCATATGTGCATTATTGTGTAAGAGTACAGTTTACGCTTCGTATAAAACGGCCAAACTATTTTTATTCGTTTCACTCTGCTGCTCTCGGTGCAATTTCGAATTTGGCTTTGTGACTAATTGCTTAAAGTTTTATCGAATGCTTTTCGTAAACGCGTAATGATTCGCGATTCAAGCAAAAACTTTTTCCGATATCCGTGTATTTTGAAATCTCTTTTCACAAGCTTATACAGAAAATATTTGCTAAACTTTTAAATCCTGCACTTATCAAGCAATGCACATTGTTTCGATATAATGCGATATATATAATATACGCGCTGCTCTCTATATTTTCACAAAATTTAATTCTATAATAAGTGTATTATTGTTATATATACAAGAGCATTATTTTCGCTATTCATAATTTAAAAGAGCTAAATTTTTCACATCATGAAGTTTATTCTGCGTTATTTATGCATTACATTCGTGATTGAAATTATTTTATTGTAATTTTATATATCAGATCAAATCTGATATTAAAATTGCAAAAACAGATGACATTTCATGGCACTGAAAGGGTCACATTGGTATATCGATAAAAATATAAATTATAGCCCCTGATGTATAGCCCCGTTTACATTCGACGGGTATAATCTGGCTTACGCTGAAAAATATGTATATATAACCAACACGTTTCGTAACAAAAGCTCCCTGTGGTACGACAATGTCGAACTTGGATATCGCTTAAGACCAGAAGAAATAAAAGTTGCGCGAAATTCGAAAATTCGTTCGAGAAAAGCTTTTCTCGCGTGACGTCCGATACGATAAAACTATATCGTTTGGATCGACCTTATTCTTTCTTATAGAGAACTCTATGACATTTATTATATTTTATATTTTTCAAACGTGCACGCGAAATGCATCGAAAATGCACAAATGCAGCATTTGCTATTTTAAATATGTAGTTTCCTTCTCTCTGTGTGTATAATATTTTTGATTTTTTTTTCTCTACACTATAAAATTATTGGGATGAGTGTGATATTTCCATACGACTAATTTCGTAATTAAAGTGTATCGTTTTTGTGAGAAATTGGGCTATACTACGAGGTCTCGAATATCTTTGCTAGCGGTTGCTTTTTTATCTGATGACGAGATAATGTACGATAACGCGTTTCTAAATATACTGTCGGAATAATTTACACGCGGAATATACATATGAGTGACTAATATTGTTTCCGCGACAAGTAAAAGTTTCGCAACGTGTATAACAACGGATGCTTAAGAACGCGCGAGAAATTTCAATTTTTACGACTATTTGTCCAGACTGTCATGCAATCACGTATACGTCGAATTTAAGGTATACGTTTATCGAAACACTATGCGATCGCGCTAATGTAGGTCGATCAATAAGGCTCGACAAGAAGAATTTTCTTGAAAAATCTCTTTTCAAAGACCAAATCTCTTCTCTCGATTCGTCAATTTCTCTGTCCTCGGTGCCGAAATAACGCGTCGCTCTGTTTCGCTATCTATTCTAAAGGTAACCGTCCTAAAAACATTATGTTTTATTGAAAAACTATTCCGCTGATCGCGTTTGATATCCTCTTTTGCTTCACCTCATATTTACGAACGAACAGGACTTGCTACATGCTATTTACTAACTTATTAACGACAGGATCGACGACATAGGCTCGATGATTGTTTATCGTCGAAGAAGGAAAACGATCAGTTTGATAGGTATACGTCTGCGTCGCACAATCAATCGGCAAACGTAATCGCCGATCTCTCGTATATGCGATGTGTATCGCATAAGAAACGTATAAGTTAGAAGCTTAATGATAAATCAGTCTTTCGGGCGAACATCGCGCGGGCCTTTCTTTTTAATTAAGATTATAATCTTAATAATTATTGGAGATCGCGTTACCTTATATGATAACGCAATCGATTTCGTTGATAAGTTTGTTAACGTATAGTCTTAAAGCAATTCTCTCACGGCCGTAGATCTCTCGTTAGAATATTTCGGCCATAGTTTTCAATCGATCGATTCGGCGATGAAAATGAAAAGAACGCAATAATTCGCTACACATTACGCGTAGAAAATCCTTTTCTATGAATGATATTTCCCTTTTCTACCTTGTAACTAGTCATTTTTAGGACCACTTGTAGAAAAGAAATATTGTATAGGGTAGTATACGATTTTGTTTGCTACACCTTTCTCTCAAGACGGATCTTCGTCTTCTCTTTCGCTTAAAAGTCGCTTGGCCTAAACGCGAGAAATTCGAATTTAAAAAGCGAGCTAAAATAAATAGTTTAGAGTGACCGTGCGCCTCGTGGCTGCCTGATAGTTCCAAGAAAGAGATCCCACGAGAGCCAATTGAGTTCGACAAGTGTTTGAACATATAGTTGACGTTCAAAGTTTTACGCTAGTCGCCTTTTGATTTCTTACGACATTATATATAATACGAGGATAATACAATCGCGCGGACTTGGCATTGCATAATGAAATACACGTTCTCCTTTTGTTTTCCTCACAATGTTACATTGTACTTAACGTTTAAACTCCAGATGTGAGATGCATGTGCCAAACCTGTGCGTGTATGTTACAATATACACTTTAGATTTCCTTCGACACATTGTAGTGCCGGTGTGAGTACGATCGATTGTGTGTGCGTTTTTATGAGAGAAGAACGGGCATTTTCTCCGTCGAGAGAGCGAGAGAACGTAAACGTAGCTCGTTGCGAGAACGACAAGCTTAACTCGGGAATAAATAGATTGTTCTCTAGATCGTTAATCGCGGAATTGTCGAGTAAAATGATTCTTATTTGTCGTATTGTCTTCGATAGCATTTTTATTTTATGGCAGTGATAAAGCGCTGGCGATATAATATGATTGACGTAACGATTGACAAAGTGTATTCTATAAAAAAGATAAGGCAGAAAAGATAATATACGAAATTTCGATTTCAACGTTTATCTTCCAAGTGCAACTAAGGAATTTAATGTAGTATAATTATTAAAATTGTATTAAAAGAGATAAATTGATTTAAACGATTATTTGTTTTATAGAAATATTTTTTTTTTTGAAACGCATGAAATTAATTGATATTTAAATATATAATATTTAATATTTCAATATATCTAAAAAATGTTTAAAAAAGATAATTCTTTTTTTCTCGGAGAAAGAGAAAAACTTTATATTTCGTTACTTTTTAATTACTCTTTATAATACCGAATATTAATCGTACACTGGGGTGTAGTAAAATTTAAAACGTTCATTTTTTCTATAATATAAAGCGAGAGCACTTTGTTAAATATTAAGTAAGAACCTAATTCTGTGTCGTTATAATGATGAAATCATATATATGCAGATTAATCCGTGCTCAAATTGAACAATGTGCATTACATTGAATAATAAGCGGAATAAAAAGCTACATGCAAGTTTTATCTCGTCGTTCTCGTATGCGAGGCACGCATATTTTATTCGAGGGGAAAGATTTACGTGAGTGGCCGCATTCCGGGCACGTTGACGAGATTTTACGCTAGGGATTGTAGTAGTAATATAATAATCTCGACCACACAAGATGTGTATCATAACGAGAAAACGTTGTGAGATGTTAAAATGGATGAGATATTATAAAAATTTATGTTTCTATATTGTAATAAAGCGTTTATGTATAACGGGGTTATTATAATGCAAAAATATACATACTAGTTGTCCGGTTCGCGACGACTTCTTTATTGACCTTTGACTGATCACGCCGTCTCCTAAAAACGTCTGAAACTGTAGAAATTGCGAAATGTCGCTGAGATAGGAATAAGGGAGAGGAATAAGTAAAAAATGCGAGGAAAAAAGCTCATATGCTCGACATCATTGCGAATTAAATATTAGCTTTATTGTTAACGTATATTGCAAACTTCTACATGGTAGAAATCTGAAGTTGAAGTAAAATTCGATTAGTCTTTCAACCCTGCCTGAAAGGGACGTGTAGAGAGTCATGCAATAGCGTGAACACACTTGACACTCGAGAGTTAAGATATTATATGCTTATTAAGAAAACAACGTGCTCTCCGTAACATAGCCATATAATAATAATAAAAGCGAATGTGATCGTCGAATTTTTCGCTAAATTACTTTTACGAGCAAGTGTAGACGCTCTGGCCATTCATACTTTTGGCTGTTTACTCATCAAACATACGGCTATGTGTTTTTCTGGTCTACGTAACAGGTGGATCGCGTCAAAACGGGGGCAAAAATAAATCCTCCCTTTTAGCGGAGAGGGAAAGGTGCCATTAACCCGATTATGAAACCAATTTGCGTTGTTCGCGTCGATCAGACGTCCACTTATTATCGGAGACCACTTATGCGCACGAGAGCACGCACCGGATATTCCGGTGAATTTATGACACGCGTCAGAAAAACGCGTGTGAGTGTATTTTTCTTTAACTCTAATAACGGGCCAGTTATATTCTACGCCGAAGCGCTATTCTTACAACGCATATATCTTACCTTATCTAAAAGGAAAAATATAATCAGTAATCGGAGCAATACATGGGCTCCGAAGCAATCGAATAATAATCGACAGATTCCGGATTTGATTATCGAGCACTCTTATATATATGTTTGTATGTTATTGATTGAAAATTGAAAAAGACTGAATCGTGTAAAATTTCGTGTCTAAAAGACAATTAATAAAGGAAGGAAATTATTTATCGTGTCATTGCGTAAGCAAATATCATTCCTTTTTTTAAAATCTATCTTAAAGGGATGAAAAAGATATTCGTAATTATCTAATAATATCATAATTAGAAAATAGAATCTTGTTGCTTCAGAAAGTCTCTCTGTTGTTTGTTTTAGCGAATTTATTTTTGCAGAGATTTTATATAAATCCCATTCACTCAAATGTAAACTTTAATCTGCGGGATATAGGTCGGAATCAAACCCGGATTTATCGATTATCAGACAACCGTTGTACTCACTGAATATCTTATCATGAAAAGTAATCTATTTTGCAGGATTAAAGCAAGACGGATGCTTTTCTGCCTAAATCTATGAGAATTTTTTGCCCGTTTCGAGCTCGCCCACGAAAAGATGAATAAAAAAAATATACGATATTAATTAAAAACTAGCAGTCTTAAGTTTCAGTTTAACCCTGCCTAAAAGGGAAGAAAAGATGGTCATGCAAGATTGCTCTACCATGTTTGGGGGCCTAAGCTAAAACGCACATTGGATCGTATGATGCATCTTGAAGAAACGATTTTACTGAAACGATTCTTCAGAAATCATTGAACAAATTATAAATTCGCATTATTTTCGGCCGAGATTCTTTTGCCGATCGAGACTTTTGCCGATCAAGATAACACAGATGACATATTATTTCATCAATTCAAGATCAATACAACAAATGAATTGTTACTTATACAGTTGTTGAAAGTAAATGTAAGAAAAACATTCAAAGCGAACGCAATTGTGATCTCGGTTCCCGGAAAACATACAGATCTGCTTTGATAGATAAAAATATACATCAATCACAAGAGCAATTGTTATGTTTCCACACAACTGTTGCGTTCGCTAAACACACTCAATTCATGCGTCTTTTGTGTAAATAAAACGATCTTCATACGTCGCTAATGTTAACAAGAAACAATGATATTAAATTTTTATCTGTTATTTTCTGCAATATTTTACGCAGTTTGACACATGTTTTTTAATTGAAATGTTTGAACTAAGATATTTTTGAATTAAAATGTGCATAGGAATAAGAAGCGCCAATTAGTATATTTGAAATTTAAACTTAATTTAAGTTTAAAAGTTAAATGTAATTCAAACAGTGTCATCATTGCGTGCCACACTTTGTCTCTAATCATAATATCATAATATCATATGATATTATATGATTAGAGAAAAAAATCTTGATCGGGAAGTGCTCTTTCGGCGATCTCGTTACTTCGATTCGAAGCGCCTTCTTCAATGGAATATAAGGGCCCTTTTTTAAACATTAAACTCTTACAAACTAATTTTTATCTGAGGTATCTTTCCTCCGAATATAGTTTAGACTTTAATTATAGTTTCATGTAGCTGAGAGTCTCGGAGTTTTACATTGCACAATAAAATGTGGAAAGAAAACTTTCCAAATCAGCAAACTCCAATTAAAATACAAGAAATTTTAAAACCGTTTCAAATAAGTAGAGATTCTCAGTTTCTTTTTTTTCGAACATTTTGTATGAAGGTATCGATTTTTGACAGGGAACACTTTCTAACTTTTGTGAACAATTTGCAAACAATAATGCCCATTTGAATTTTGATAAAAATAATATGCAATTTCGATTAAAGCGATCAAATCCAATTATGTATTCAAATATTGCAATGGAGCTTACCGAATATTGTTGGCAATATTGCTCGTTCGTTTTTATGATCGACCCGGTAAGCATCGGAAGGACGATCGGCCGCCTCGAGATTCCCTGTCGAACGTCCCATAATCCGGAAAACGTATGTTGCTTATTTCTATCGTCCGAAAATGACATACATAAATTTTCATAAACATCCTTCAAGCATTTTCGTCATTCGACTTAGATATCGTACTTATTTCAATGTGCTCGTTGTTCCTTTTCTTATTTTTGGTTCCTATTTTCTTCTTGTTCTTACAATGAAACTCCTCTTGGATCTCCAATAACGACTTGCCTTTGGTCTCGGGTACAAGCAGCGCGATGAAGATTAAGCCGATGAAGCAGGTGCAGGAGAAACAGCCGAAGCTCGTGTACACTCCATAGTAATCGGAAATCACCTGATACAATTTCGACACGCCGAATGCCAGCAACGAGGACACCACATTGGTCGACGAAACAGCGGCGCCCTTGATGTTGGTCGCGAATAATTCGCCCAGCATCATATATGGCAGCGGGTTCAGGCCCAGAGCGATGATCAGCTCGTAAAATATCACGCAAAAGTGAAGCGTCCAACCAGATCCAACCAAATTGGTTTCGTTTCTGAACTTGACGTAGTAAAAGACGCCAGTGCCGGCCAGCGCGATTCCAGCTAGAAAAGTGGTACTTAGAAGCAACGGCCGTCTGCCGAGCTTGTCAACCAGAAATGCCGCTGCGACCCCGGCGATCAGTTGAAGTACGCTAAGTAAGATGACCGAGGTACTGGCGGACAGAGCCCCGTCGCCTTCCTCGAGAATTTCTTGAGTGTAGGATTCGATTGCGGCGATGCCGCTGCACTGGAGAATCACTTGCAGCCCGAAACTGATGATGATGGCGCGCCGGTTGCCGCGTGTCTCGAACAGATCCCCGAAGTGGCCGCGATTTGTGAGATCGCAGAGGACCATGTTTTGCATCTCTTGCAGATCTTCGTTCAGCTGACCCTTGGAAATGCCGCGATTCAGACGTTTCAGATTTATTATCGCGTTGTCTTGGCGATTTCTCATCAGCAGGAAGTACGGCGATTCGGGCATCCAGGGAAAGCTAAGGAAGAATATCAGTGGCAGCAGCAGGCAGATGTAAGCGAGATTGTAGAAGGTTACGAAAGGACCCGCTGCATGAGCGTAAAATTCCCCGAAGGTCACCATCAGCTTGATGAGAGAACCGAGACCGCCTCTGATGTCCTTGTCGGCTATTTCGCCGATGTACATCGGACAGACGACATATACTATGCCCTGGCCGATACCGCTGATAAATCGAGCCGCGTAGAAGACGTAGGGATTCTTTGCTATGATTATCATAATAAATCCGAAAAACAGAGGTACACTACCTATCAGTAAACTCCTCTTCCGACCCAGCCAATCGACAATAAAAGCTGCTAAAATGCATCCTGGTATGGTACCCAAAAGGTAGAATGAGGCGATCCATGAGGCATCGTCAGACGTTATCCGGACATGAGAAGAGTTTGATTTTAATAATGGTAAGGATGGTGATGTCCAGCCTATGTGAGATCCGGCAGTGGCTAACGATAAGGTAGCTGTAATCAAATCAGATGGAATGTGAATGATTGATACTATTTTTATGTCGCTTTATTTAATTTTTCTATATGTAAATTTGACTTGAGAAAAAAAGATTCTGAATCAATCAAAGAAACTAATGTTTTTTTTAATGTGAAGTAAGCAATCCATAGATAGAATATTTTTATTTTTTATATAAAATATAAGTTTTAGGAATAATTATAATATTATGTAGAACACATAATTATTATATTATGTAGAATATTTTTCTATATAAGAACAATCAACGTTTAGGATACGAGTTTTAATTTGACTTAATGCATGTTTAAAATCTTGTGTAAAATCTTGTATCAAAGTGTGTCCTCATATCGGATTTTATCTTCTTTTCATATTCCTAAGTAATCATGTAATGATTACTATGATTTCAATATAATTATCACGTTGATAACACTATCTATAACTAATATCAAAAACGAAATTCTCTTGATAATCTCTAAGTATGTTTAAATTTAATATTTATTTAAGACGTAAATTATATAATAGAGAGCTTTTAAAATTTGTGAGGAGACAGTTACTCGTGAAAAAATAAATTGAAAACACATAGAATATTTTTTTAATGAAAACTTCGTTTTCGAGAAAAATAATTTTGAAAATTGAAAAATTAATGTAATACATATTTATTATTTTAAATTATATCATAAAATTACAATTTTTTAAATTTATATGACAAAATATAATGTTATCAACGAATTTATTTTAATAATGATCAAAATATACAAAAAGATACAACACTTTATCGATAAAGTAAAAATGATTTTATTTTTCAAATAATTTATTTACTTTAACAGTTTAAAATCTTTTAGATTACTAAAAATAATAATTTTATTAATTTATTATAATAATCGATGTTGAAATAGATTTAATGAAACAGATTTAATATATGACAAAGATTGTTATAGATTATTCAAGTTTAAGAAAGCATAAATATATGTTATTAATTTTCTAATTCTTGAAATCAGTTTTCTCGAGGACATTAAACAAAAAAAAAATTATTCTACGTTTTCAATTTATTTTTGCATACGAAATTATTACTTTCTCGATTGTATGACAACATCAGACGCATTCTATAAAATAATATTTACAACAATATTTTAAAATGATATAAAACTATGAAGTTACCAGATGATAATTAAAAAATGGTAATAATTCAATCGACCAACTCTGGCAAATAAGTAAATTTATTGAATTTTCACGTTTCGGCCGTAGGTTTCAGCCCTTATCAATTGCTATGTTCTTAAATCAAAGTAAATCACAACTTTTTTTAAAAACAAAAATTCGATCTTAGAATATGACATATAATAACATGATAGTATAAAACGAAATAACTATGTTATTTTATCAACATATAGTATCAATTTTATTAATTTATTATAATAATCGATGTTGAAATAGATTTAATGAAACAGATTTAATATATGACATACCAAAGATTGTTATAAATTATTCAAGTTTAAGAAAGCATAAATATATGTTATTAATTTTCTAATCTAGCCGAAACGTTGTGAAAATTCAATAAATTTACCTATTTGCCAGAATTGGTTGATTGAATTATTACCATTTTTTAATATTTTAAAATCTTATACAATTATATCAGTACATTTTGATATTAGTTATACTAATTTTTAAGTTAAAAATAGTTTTTTATTTACCTGTAATTGCTGCTAAATATTGCGACCAGCGAGGGCAGCAGGTATTCAATTGCTCCATCTTTTATTTCTTCTTATTACAGGACTAAAACAAGAATCAGTTTATTATCCAAAAAGCTTAAATGTGATTATGTTATAATAAAAAATTGGAAATATGGAACACATTAGATGTAAATTGCTTTTAATCAAAAAATTAATTCTATATAGATTAAAATTAAATAAAAATCCATAACATCAATTTTTTATATTAGCAACATACACACGTTATTCATTAAATATAATACTACATTTAGAATAAAGCAAAATTAAAAATTGAATTTATTTTTGCTTTATATAAAAAAGTTTATTAATTTGTAATTCGATCTTGTACTTACAGGAATAACGATGAAATGCAGGAAATGCTACCAGCCAAGAATGTCCACCGAGTTTGACAACCCGAATTTTAATGGCCCTCCATTTCAGATGGAATGAAGCGTATTTATGACGCTGTAGATTTTATATGTTACTTTATCAGCGCTTTCGTTATCAGCGATTCATGCCGAATCCATCGTTATCCCCACTTTTATGAGAGAATATTTACCTGTCACTACTGTTAATAATTCTACAGAAAGGATGGGGGGCTAGAATAAATATCGTGTTATTTCTTAGGTATGCCACTTGCAAGCACTATTACGTTTTTGATTGTTTGAGAGAGAGGAAACGTAAATCTAATTAACAAAAACATATTAAACCTAATAAAGGCAATTTTGAATAAGGCAACGCACGTATCTTGAAAACCACGCACACAGTAACACAAAAACATATTATTTATACACACACATATATAAAAATATTATTTAACCATAATATAATAAATAATATCTCCACAATATACTTATATCTCCACAAATATTCTCTTTTATAATGTGAAGAACACTAAACAAAGGCCATACATAAAAAGAGAACGAATTAGAAAATTCTTATCCTTAGTAAACCATAGATAAACCACATTTTGTTGAAACAAAATCACGCGTAATATGGGATATACTATATGCTTATAAATCTTTCGACCATCCATCATCTAGTAAAAATGTAGTCAATTTAAAGAAATCATGATAAGTCAGACGCCCAAATAACGAAGTTAATTACAATCAACATTAGTCCAATGGTAAAATTATATGAAGGACTATCGACAGACCTGCCCTCGGGAGTAGAGATCCTACCGATCCACTTATGAGGTTCTCTTTTATTCTGCTCTCGACCAAAATGTATAAAGAGAAATTTTAACAAGCTTTCTATATTTAATAGATATATAATGATTTTTTAATGATATTTATTATTGACGTCCCTTATAGAAATTTATCACTAATAACGTCAATTTATCACTTATTTCGAGTATTTAATCACTTATTTCGAGTACTTAAATTATTGTATATTAGTATTTCAAGTACTCAAAATAAGTGATTAATTGGCGTTACTAGTGATAAATTTCTACAAGGGATTTAATTATTATTTAAATTAATTTAAATTAATATTTGTTATTATATTTGAGAAGATAAAAAATACATTGAAGTATTTCGTATAAATTGCGTTAATAGGTGTAGATGAAAATTTATAGAACCTGTAAATTGGATTATCACACAGATTATCACATTTTGTTTCCTGCTGCATAATGTAATAGGATTAATATCTTATGCTAATTAAAGAGAAAACCCTATATAGTTATTCATAAACAATGCCTTTTCATTACAAGTTTCTGATTAACAATAACAAACATGCAACAACATTACGTGTCTTGGTATTAGTAATTAATCATTTTAGTATTGCAATTGTGCGATATATAACAGCCTCTCTAGGGACTGTTGTCGATAATGGATGACAACAGTAGACAACAATAGTAATACATAGACTCTCAATTATTATTTTTTTATATACAATACATAAATTGTTGTTTGCATGTTATTTATATAAATAGAGAAGTTTTTCTCGACAACGATTTATGTATTATAAATTATAAATCGCTATAGGCATCTTGCCTAGATTAGATTAAATTTATAAAGATCGTCAAAGCGTCAGATTGTTATTTTTATATTTTATTTATTTTCCCCTTTTTGATAGTTTTTTATTTTCCGCAAATAAATTATTGCGCAAGCATAATAAACTCATGTATTGTTATTATAGAGTTATTATATAAATAAAAATCTCTCTTTACGCGGTTATTATCATTACTTGTTAAATATATATGTATTGCAAAAGAAGTATGTAAAATTTACATGGATAAAAGTGTAATTCTGTTTTTTTTTGTTCAATGTTAAAGGATTTATAATATAAAACGCATATAAAACATAATAACACTTTTAAATGAACTGTTAACGATATATTTTTATAATAATTGGCGTTTGTGAACTTTTTTTGAATTTTTGCTTCCAACTTAAGATTCACGACAATTGTTATCGCCTCGTTTCGAAACCTTGATAACTTATCGTAAACATACGTGTTATATATCCAATACACATTTGTTGAATCATTGTTTATGATTACGTTTTTTATTACATTTATGTTATTTGTATAAATAAAAAATTAATAAGTCTCTCGACAACACAATTTGTGTATTACAAATTATAATGGAAATTCTGATGAGTATCTTGCATTAAATATATACGAAATAGTATATATTGTTAAAGTATATAATTATTTTTATATTTTCATCATTAATGTTATTATTAATGAAAATTGTTTTTCTTAAAGAACCATATAATCACTTGATACAAGTAAATTATAATGATATAGATAAAGCATATAGTGTTAACTATATAAATAGTTGGCAGTATTTCATAATAATTAATGTTTGTAAACTTTCTGTTACAGAATCTTTTCTTTTAGCCAACTTTAAACAACAATATGTGTAATTCTTATCGTAAAATCTTATGATCACTTATCGCAAATGTGTACACATTTTCCACATTTTGCAAACGTGGCGTATCAAATTTTTATAAAAACGTGCGTGCACTTGTTATCGGTTATAATTAGACTGCAAAAAATGCATTGCGCGTTTTGCATTTTTGCAATTAATTGTCAAACATTAAAATTTGATAATTATTTAAAAAATTTTTATCTTATAAAATAATGTCTTATATAAAGTCAGAGAATAGATTCACACAGATTGAATAATGAAAAAAAATGATAGAAATATGAAACTAAAATAATAGAATAATTATGATTTTATATACATTTATATTCAAATTTTTATATAATTTATATTTTATTTTGTGATAATTTATGCTGCAAATATGCATGATCCTTATATAATTTATATTGGTTAATATTCGCGATTATTTAAAAAAGAAGTTAATTATAAATAAATTAAAAAATCATTACGCGTATCAACAATTAATTAATAATCTAATTTGAATTTAATTTGAAATTTATATCTATTTAAAAGAAAATAACATTAAATATTACACACACACATATTCATAAGTGCTCTAATGTCATTTTTTATTTTAATAAAATAAATTAAGTTAGACTTTTCATATAAAATGTAAAAAATGCAAATATAAAAAATCCGGCTGCATGGCTGGAAACTGCATTTCAATATAGAAAATGTTTGCACGTTATCTGCGTTTACGTCGTTAATGTTTAATCCAGTTAAGTTTTGATGTGACACATTTATGACATATACGTTTGTTACTGGTGAAACTTTATGAGAAATAAATGCGAATATTTCATCGGAGAGATAGTATCCTCTTCGGTGAGATACAAAACGAGGCAAAAGATATTTTTCCCACTTTCTCCATTACATTTCTCTTTTACAGAAGATTCAATGATAAAATAAATACATTGATAAGATTAATAAAACTATTAATAAAACTGCGCCTATAATGATTTGAAGGCCGAAAAAAAAGAAATTTAATCCCATTTATTGTTCTTCTGAAAAAATCAAAAATTGAAATATTCCAGATATATAATAATTTAAATTTATTTGTTATTATCGCACATAACGTAAGCGTTCTTCCATTAATTAACACCAATATATGATAAAAGGCTTAATACTAGCACAAAATTACAATTTTTACTGACAATTTTACTATCACGAAAAGATGCAAGACGCACCACTTTGCGCGTGTCTTTTGAACACAAGTCGAGAAAAAATCGATTTATATCTCTTTAGTTGCTAACTTCAGCGAGTACGCTACGCGCACTTACATTGACGTTTGTGTTTCGCGCGTGATAGTCGCAAATCTATCGAGCGCATCGATCGTCGCCATCGCGCTGGTTCGGGCAGTCGCGAGTTGTCTGCCATCGCGGGGACTTCGGCTAGACTGGTATTCGTGAAGTGCGGATCTGTGAATTCACATAATCGTATAGCGTAATTGATTCTCGCGTGCGAAGCTCGACGAGAAGCCCCGAGAGAGTCCCGTGCGTTGACAGAATCGGCCGCGACGCGAGTCGACCGCGGCTGCAGAGATTCGACGAGGACGACGACAGCGAAGGACGGGCGCAGCCGAAGATGTGCGGCGGCTTTACGTGCTCCAAAAATGCGCTAACAGCACTCAACATTCTCTACATCGTGAGTAGACGCGTCCCTTCACTTTTAAGCACTTTTATACGTCTCCTCCTCGTCCGTTCTACTCCTCGCTTCTCATTTTGACATTTAAGTACAGGAAGATAGGATTTGCGCGTTGCATAATTCATCGACTAATTTTGTGTACATATTGATCGATTAGAGCGATGTTCCCTAAGTCTATTCCTGTAGATTACGAATTTTAACTCATACATGTTTGGAAAATCGATTTATTATATTAATATTTCTGTTGACGTTTCTTCCTGTCATTGACCATAAGATAATTGGGTTAAGAATTATTAGTACTATATTGTTGCAATATTCGAACTATGGATTTCTTTTATCAAATACGTCACTGTTACATTGATAAGTGGATGAGAATGAGTAATTATTTTCAATTATGATTATGATAATATGCAGCTGAAAATTAGTATTTAAATTATGCACAAGTCTAATGTATCAGCTTAAAATTCTTTAACATTTATCCCAGTGGATCATTTTTGTATCAGTTATGTTTTAGAATCAATACTAGAAATTTTATTAATGATTATTTTTCCTTTTACAGGTTGTTGCCTTTATATTAATAGGAGTTGCTGTATATGGAAGGGCATCCGCCTTAGTAACAAACCTTCCTATTATTGGCGGCATTTTAGCATGCGGAGTGATCCTGTTTCTCATTTCTATATTGGGCCTGATTGGTGCTGTTAAACACCATCAGGTTCTATTGTTCTTTGTATCCTTACCAACTTGAAAGAATATTTATTTAACATAATAGATAAAATATTTTAAAACTTTTTAGTTACGCCTACATATATACGTATATATATATATATATTATGATCAATACATCTAATATATATTGTATAATTCTTTACCAAATCATACACAATATTAAATAATCATAATATTATATTCTCTTCTCTCTTTCACTCAAAAGAAATGAATGTACAATTCCTTAATTGCAATTTACAGTACATGCTTATATTATTTCTTTTATTCCTGATTCAATTCAGCATTGCCTGCGCTTGCCTTGCTGTTAATACTAAACAGCAAGAACAACTTGCCGAACAGGTAATTTTTAATTTTTAATTTAAAAGTATTTCACTCAATTATTCTAAAAATAAATAATTTAATAATTATTTCTAGGGTTGGACACATGTTGAATCTGATTTAAAGAAAAAAGTTCAAACCACGTTTAATTGTTGCGGATTTAACAGTACTCTTGAAGATCCAGCTTGTGAGGTAAATACTTTGAAATAAAAATGATATTTATTTAATACTCTAAACATTGTAATCTTTTACAGAAGGTTTGCTGCCAATCGATTGATACTAGTTTAATGCCTTGTCCACCTTGTCCAACATGTATGCACAAACTGCAATCTACTATTGATTATGCATTCAAATTGTGTGGCAGCATAGGATTATTCTTTAGCTTTACGGAGGTAAGATTCCACAAAAATGTCACATTTTTTATATATATTGCATCATTATGTAGAACACAATATACATAGTGTGTTACATAGAATATCAGTTAAGCAATGTTTGTTGTTTACTTAATTATAAGTGCTTCAGTTACTGCTTACAATGAAAGTTGTCATTTTACTAATGTAAAATAACACGTGTACCCCCAATTACAGTTTGTTGGTGTATGGTTGACCGTGAGATACAGGAACCAGAAAGATCCACGAGCTAATCCTAGTGCTTTCCTCTAGTCTAACACCATCGCCATGTCCTCTGTCACTTCATATGATCCTCCTAACAGATGGTGGGTGGTTTCATAATGTTGGTTGTGGTTTTTTGATTTTTCTTTAGCATTATAGTTTTACAAATTTAGATATTCATATGCTAATGTTCATTCTAAAAAATCTGTAAATTACTGTAAATTACATGTAATATACATATAATATGCAGAGAAATAGGGGATTTTGATAAATATTATATATTTTTTATTGTAACTTTAAGCAGGTTTTCTGTAGACTTTATGAACTTATATATTTTCAGGTGATTGCAGCTTTCTTGGCGAGACGTTATCGTAATCAATTTGATCCACAAGAAAAAGCTGCAAGAGCTGTTTTTCCGCGACATAATTATTTATATTGATTCGATGATACATTTGAAAAAAATTAATAACTTTTTTAATTTTTCTTTTTATTAATATTATTTTACAATACTTTCGAGTATAAAGAGGACCCGTATATAGAGTTAATTTCGTTCTCAATTGCTCGCTTATATATTGTGCAATTATATTTTTCAAGAGCTAAAATATTTAAATTTTATCTTTTTAATACTGAGATGATTACACATGTATAATGCTCAACAGAAATAATAGCAGATTTTTCAATTGGGCAATCATAGATTTTAGAATGAGTTAGACAAATAATAACAGAAATGTGTGCTCTAGTCATATACTTAGAACACTCATAACAAGCCTCAATGCGCCTTGTAGTCTAGAGACCGAAAACATTATGTAAGTATATTTCTATTAAATTTCGTTATATTTTGTTTTTAACAACTCTTTGATAAAATGGAAGTCGGTGAAAATCTAACATACTGTCGTAATTATGCTGTCTAGTTCAAAACAATTCGGATACATCATAATATTTAAAATTATCCTAAAAATATAGGGATTGAGATAAGAGTGCTATAAGGAAAAATACAAATTAATTTTTTTTTATATTTTTTTATGGAAGAATGTAGTTAAAATCATGGTAACAACAGAGATGATATAACATCCATGATCGTATCAATTATATTTTTCTCCTATACATAACATCATATTACATATATACATAATTATTCGATGATATCTAGAAATTTATATCTTCCGAGTAAAAGCAAATTCTGTCATCCTCTTTGAGCACACTTTTAGATAATTTTATAATATTTTTATGTCTAAAGAGATTATTTTTTCTATTTTAAATTTTCGATAGTATATTATGTGCGAACCTTCTGTTACATTGAAAAGTTTAATCAAAATAATCAGAAAAAATTGTAATTATAGTTTTATAAACTTATATAATCTAATTTGGGTGAAACTTGACTTATCTTTGGCAGACATTCCAAATCTTTAGAAGTCTAATTTCTTGTTTTTTATTGTATATGCTTTTATACATATATTTGTACATATGGATATTGTCGAAAATATATAAAATCATTTGAAATGTATACGTATTAACAAATCATTGCTTAGTAAAATATCATCAGTGATAAGATTTGTCACATATTTCAAGTTTCATCCACCATAAATATTCAATACGAATGCTTTGCTTGAGATGCTGTTCTAATTGTGCATTTTAATGAAACTTATGCATAATAAGCTGAATATATAAGATGTTCTAAATAGCCTGGTGGGAAATTATTGACAAACTTTATAATAATCTAACTTTCTTGCATAATGCAGAATTATTTATCCAAAGCTTATGCTTTTGCGGTAACGAAATATATTTAAAATCAGATAAAATTTTTTTTTATATTTAATATATTTAAATCATGTCGAATGGACTTATGCGATCGCATAGATTTAATAATAATCGAAAGCGTAACTATATTTGAAGAAAGACAATATTTATTATGAACATTTTTTTTTAATAATATCCTTCCAGGCTTTTTCGGACAATTTGCATAATAAAATCGTAATCTCTCTTTACGAGGAAGGTGAATTCAATATGCATGAAAATATAATATATATGTTTACATCGTGCCCATTCTAGATATTAGAAAATATAACATATTTTCTATCCATTTCCATTACGAGATGAAATGGAATGAATCTCGCTCTAGTTTTTGTTTTTATGAATTTCTTTATCCGAGAGACTATGAAAAGAACAATCGTCGCTGTTCAATAGCGAATTTAATTTGTTGCTATATATGTTATTACGTTTATTCAAAATTTTAAGAATATAAACTTTATTAATGTATTTAAATATAAAGAGATTAAATTTCATGGAATTCGTTATTGAACAATAAAAATATAATTTGATGCGTTGAGCACGTTTGAAAATTCTTTTAACATTTATAAAGTATTGTTTCGATGAATTTTTTTTTAATATGTTTTTTTTCATGAATGTTTGCGCAAATTTTTAGAATGTCAGTTATGTTTTACGAATTGTAGAAAATAATTGTGGATATATCTTCCGACGAGCAAAAATAAAATCTCGCGAACATTCCAATTTTTACGCACCTCTGCCCGGCTTCGATAGAAACGTGCATATATATTTTATATATATATGTACGGAATAGGGCTCGTGTTGTACACGCGAGATATGTACGGTAGCGTAATTCCTATATACATATTTTTACGTATAAATATCATAATCACATTATACGTATATAATATATTCGTAATTAGCTTTAAACGATTAAGGAGAAACACGTATATAATTCTAAGAGTATAATCAAGAGGAATTCGATAAAAGTCGTATATGAGAATGATTCGCATTTCTGTGTAACAGAAATGATATAGAAATGTTTAGAGACTTCATTATATTATCCATGTATAATGCATTTTTTGCAAATCAAAATCTGATACGTGTGGAAGGATTTAGATATCGACAATCTTAAAGTTGTAATGGAAATTATATATGTATGTACGTGTTGAAAAAATCAATGAAAAATCATATTCGAATTATACTCGATTTATCTCCTTATATAAAAAAAGTCTTGATATATGTATCCTTTTAGAGATTCATACGTGGAAATATCGTAAACACGTGCGCTCTACTCAGAATTTAAAATAAATTTTGAGTACTCACATAGTTTTCGAAATTTCATACAAATATGGAAGACAGTTTGAAATGTTAAGCGCATATAAAGTTAAAAAAATTGATTATAATAAAAAAAGAAAAAATATATATACTCTATTGCACTTACAAAACAAAATATCAAACGGATTAAATAAAATTGAGTCAATTGTTATAGAAGTTTCCACGTATAATGATTGTGATAAATAAATAAATTATATCAATCTCTCAGATGTATTTATGTTTATTCAATATATGTTACATGAAAATATCTTTCTCTTAATTGATACACAATTTTTTAAATTTGATCAAAGAATTACGAAATTAAATATGCATATATAATATATGTTTTAATTTTTGCAATAAAAATCATTTATATTTGACATAAAAAAATATAATAAATTAATTTGATTTATAATTTAATATAAAAATATACATATATAATTATACAATCTAAATTATATAAATATAAATATAATTTGATATATAAATATAAAATATAAAAACCAGAGTTCGTTCACCTGGTTGCGTCTGCGATTATTTACGCGGGTGAACGACCATCGATCTCGAGTCAAATATCCATCGATTTATACAATCGATTCTCCTCTCCATCCCTCCTAAAAAATAAAAATGGCTACTGTGGCGCGTTCGGATGTGCGTAGTGCGTATCTCGCTGTGTTGACAAACAAGCGCGGTAAAACGGCTCCGTCGACGAGGAGGGTTTGAGCGTCTCCGAGATCCTGCGTCGAGCGATACCCGAGAGGAGAGACTGACAGTTACGACGGCGTCGACGACGGAATCGAGGGAAAGCGTGACGGCTCCGGCCGGAGAGGAGCAGCGTCCACGAAATCGCGGCGAGGACGAGCGCGGCAACGTTGAGGTTATGGACAACTTCGTCAAGATCGAGAAGATAGGGGAGGGAACGTATGGAGTCGTCTACAAGGCCAAGGACAAGCTCACCGGGAGGCTGGTGGCCCTCAAGAAGATTCGACTGGAGACGTACGTCGCTTTATTTATTTCTCCTGCTTCCTTTTAAACACGCCAGGGTGAAGCGTCAACTTTCACTCTGACAAATGAAATCCCGCGCAATTTTCCTCTCCGGGAATGCATTTCAGTCTCGGATGCATCTCTCTGGCATTTTTAATCAATTTTTTTTGTTACGATAATCTTGTTACGAATAGAAGAACTTGACAGAAGTTTGTTGGATGAAAGAATGTGTATATATAAGAATGTATTGTATCACAACTGTGGAACATTGTTTGGTTAATTGTCAAATTTTTCAAGGAATTTGTTGTTAATTTATTGTTACGATTAATTTTTTGCAATGGCAAATATCCTTAATGATCCTCTTGTCGTTGATTATGAAGCATAAATCAGAATAGAGGAATGTACACAAGGTACTTTTTCCTCTTATACTTTTAATGAAAAGTAACTAACTTTTTTAATTTAACTGTTGTATTTGCTTGTTAGAGGAAAGCAAGTTTTCTTTTGTATTATATTGATATATTTTTTAATTTATTTATATTCAGACTCATGTAACATGATCATTAAGAGCTTTCATTAATCCAGCGCAAAATATAATTTCCATAACTATCATTAATATCTGCTGTCTTTGATGCTTGATAACATTTTAATAAAGTATACTTTATATATTTTTTAATAAAATATACCTTACTTTAACTTATGTAAGTTGTACATAAAAACATCAATTTCGAGGATTTGTAAGTATAAAGATATTTAATAATTATTTTAACAAAAAGTTCTTACTTATCAAATATTGAAATAAGTATTTGCATTGTATCTTTATATATAACATATGTATATATATACATATATATATATAAGTGAGTTATAATGTTAATTATCCTTAACTTAGGTCCATAAAAAATTCATAAGGAGAAAAATCGCAATTTTAGATTTTTAATAATGTACTCCTATAAATTTTAATAATAATTTTAAGAATAGTAAATTTTTTCAATAAGATATAAATACTGAATTAACTTAATTGATATTACAAAATTAATTTCGATCTTTATCTATGTACATATATGTTGAAAATTATCAGTTTGCAGAACTGCAATATCAGCTGGGCTTTTTGCTTGTGCACACTGCTAACACACTGCTAACAATCTGTATATTGGGGTCAGCTGAATCTGCGGGGGCCACGTTACACTAATTTTCGTAGCACCACATTATTCAGCTTGTCCCATTATGCAATGCTCGCCTGGTTTTTGATTTGGTATTTTTTATTTAATACACTATGTTTTATTTAATACATTATGATTTAATAAGACAAGGTTTTCTTATTAAAATTATTTTTGGGATAAGAAGCATATTATATACATATACATGTATATGTGTATATGTATATATTTGTTGCAATAATAGCATTCTTATTAAAGTTTTTCTTGGGAAGGATTAACAGAAATTAACAGAATTGCTTTTATGTTTTTCTAAAATGTGTTTTCCACACACTGATGTTATTTTGATGTTCTAAATATTGTGTCTATCATAAATGTTTGTAAGCAATTTGTCAGTAAATGACTCGAGGGAGAAAACCGATACTGTTAAAAGAAAAACAAATTATTTATAAATATTTTTTTAGCATATATTAATCAGGTATAGACACGCAAATATTTTTGTTTAATTAAGTAGTGTTGCTTTAAATCAGGGAAAGAGAAGGCGTCCCATCTACCGCCATCCGAGAGATATCGTTATTGAAAGACCTCGCACATCCAAACATCATACAATTGTTCGATGTCGTAGACGGTGACAATCACTTGTATCTCGTTTTTGAATTTCTGCAGCAGGATCTGAAAAAGCTGCTGGACTCCGTTAAAGGAGGTTTAGAGCCAGCACTCGTCAAGGTATATCGGATCGGATACATTTGACACATTTAATGTAGCGAATAGTACGTGTTTATTTTAAAATGAGGTGGTTTCGCATTGTGTTACAGAGCTATCTCTGCCAATTAATGAAAGCAATTTCCTTTTGTCACCTCCGTTGTATATTGCACAGAGACTTAAAACCGCAAAATCTATTGATAGACCGAGAGGGTCACATAAAATTGGCCGATTTTGGATTAGCGAGAATGATCGGCGTCCCTGTCCGCACTTACACGCACGAAGTCGTCACGCTTTGGTATCGAGCACCAGAAGTGCTCCTAGGAACCAAATTGTACACTTGCGCGCTAGATATATGGAGCCTCGGCTGCATATTCGCGGAAATGGTACGTGATAATTGCGCGAAAGCTTGTTGCATTATGTCTATATAAAATCGCGATTTCTACGAGACGAATCTTTATAGGCAACCAGAAGAGCGATGTTTCCCGGCGACTCCGAGATAGATCAATTGTTTAGGATATTTCGCATGCTCGGCACGCCAGACGAATCAGTCTGGCCAGGAGTGACGCAGCTTCCGGATTACACGTCTAAGTTTCCGAAATGGGATGCGAATAATTTGGACGACATTTTACCTAGTTTCGACGACGATGCCAAAGATTTAATTTCAGTAAGGATAAAGGAAAAGGCTAGCACCTTTCTATACTTCGCGAAAGCACGTTAGGATTTATGTACATATTATTTATGCATGTTTTTTTTATGTTTGTAGAAAATGCTGACATACGATCCAAATCAGAGGATAACGGCGAGAAAAGGAATATATCATCCTTATTTTAAAGGAGTTAAATTAATTCCCCCTCCACTGCCAAAGAAAAATTGACATAGTTTTATGACCGATTAACGTACTGTATTTACATAGGTTTTTATATAAAATTCGATTAAACGCAAATTAATTTTGCATGGCAAGGCGATAACTTTATACTGAGAGTGTGTTCAATTATATATGAGACAGTATATAATAGACTAAATATACATAATAATACTAAATATATATATATTTTTACTTGTCTTAATCTTATGTATATTATTTTACGATTTTTTCTCACTTTATTTTCCATAATTTCCTTCAATTTTCCATTCGTATATATGAAATATGCGTATATTTAAATTATATTTTTCAAACATAATAATTATATATATCTTTTATACTACTTTTATAATACTTCTATATATATATGCATGTATTTTTTATGTATTTATGATCGAAAACGTTGCGCGCAGTATTAAACAATAGAAGTCACTGATTCATAAACAAATTGTTAAGATATTTTTATAAAAAAATATTTATAATAAATTTAAAAATTATATTTAAAAAATTATATTTATTACTGATTTATCAAAATAAAAAAAGAATATTAGAAATATATCTTAAAAATAATATTGTTAATAATTTATCAAAGGGTTAGTGATTTATTTATCTGGACGGCACTTTTGTTTCCGACACCCATTAGAAGTTAATCTTCTATACAGAGGAAGATACAGGGTTGGAAATTTATAATTTAAATGGGAAAATATAGGACTTGCAAAGAAGCTCAAGTTCTTATTTTTCACTTTATCTCGAATTTTTAGTTTTACTTTTGAGTCTACTTCTAATTTATTTATATTTCATTAAGATTATTTCTACGATAGAAAAATGTACTTTTTTGACTTATATATATTAGGATTATATTCATTAATAAAAAAAACATTTTAGGAATAATTCCTTACTGATTTTTATTTTCTAAATTATTAAAAAAAATTATTTACTAATAATTTATTTAAAAAAAGTATATTAAAAATATTTATGACAAAAATAATAATTTTTTGCACTCATTTTCATAAAATATTCATAAAATATTAAATGTTCCAAGCATCCTCGCATTTCTTACAGATTTTTTTACGATTAAGTTTCAGAATTACAAATAAATAAAAATATTTTACGTTTTATCTAATTTCACATGGAGAGAGATATGTAAACTTTAAAAAAGTTTCACACAAAAAAGCATAAAATCAAATTTTTGTTAAAGAAAAATCAATTTGAAATTGATCGTAAAAATATGACAGAAAAAAATGCGATTTATCTTGTGCTAAATGCTAGAAAGCTCGTGCTTTCGACTCGATTTTAATACGCCATTCGGGCAGCTTTTGAAGATGGCTCGATTAATTTGGGTAAAGTAATTTTCGACTGAGTTTCGGGAGTTGCTGGACTCGCTTCTTGTGATATCGGCGAAGACGCGAGTTTCGGAAGACGCAACTCCCGAGGGGACGGAGTTTTTCTCGGTGTGCCGGGAGACGTTTTGTTAGGTGTGCTGGGGGAGGACTTGTCACCGGCGGATTTAACGCGCAAGCTGCTGGGCGGACGCGGAGAAGTTGGCGAACGACCCTTCGGCGTGTTTCTGTTGTTCGTCACATCTGGCGGGGGTGTTTTAGACGTTTGTCCATTCGCGGGGGTTAGACTTTCCGTCTCTTGTGCCAATTGTCTTCTGGGGGTCGTGGCTTCCGGAGATCTGGCCAAACCGCTTCTGACAGCTCGCGGTGTCACGACGGACGAGGGTGATGTGGCGCCACGTGCTTTGGTCGGTGTCGAGGGAGGCGGCTGAGGCTGTATCTCATTGTCGTGGATCTTTGAATCGTTTGGAAAGTGGCGGTCGTTCACTGGAGTCTGCGTCTGAAATCGTGACGATCATTTATTTCTTTAACTTTCGATAAGCGAGCAACAAAATAATATAATATAATAATATAATATACAAAATAATATATAATATATTTGGATGCATCTAGTAAATGTACATAGACTATTTAATGAGCTGTAATACTGGATGCATCCTTCTTGTTACCAAAAATTATACATAGTGTGTGCAGACTGACCTCTTGACTGGCAGGCGGTGAGTGATGGCGATGCTTTTGCGGACCTTGGAGGTGAATTGTGAGGGTGAGGCACACGCTGTGCGTATTATCCTTTTACAGTGGTAAGTTTTCTAAAATACGTCTAATAAGTAGACACCGATAAGGAAGGATTAAGGAGCTATTCGTGTTTGCTGGTACCGTTCGTGCCAAACTGCAGCAAGGATTAGTATTAGGATCGGATCTATATCGATGTTAAATCTTCACGATGTAAATCTCTCTTGCACGAAGTAATAAATTTTGAAAGAACTGACAGGTTCTGCAAAGTTGAATTTCTAGTTTTTTGATTGACATTAATTATATCTGAGCTTATTATATTAATAGATATCATTAGAAGAGTGTATCATTTTGACACGGAGAAAATTAAATTTACTTCTAAAAAATAAAGACTGATATTATAAATGGTACAAATGTCCGTTATTTAGTTTTAATTAATTTATTTTTCTTAAGAATCTTTATTGGGGGGACATTTACAAATGAAATAATTTATATAGACAACTTTGATCGAACCTTTTTAATAAAATATGGACAAAAGTCTTACTCCTGGATGTTACCCATCGCGTGACGACGATTATACGTATTTTTTGGTGTATGTTTTATATTTGGCAATAGACATTTAGATAATGCGGCTAATTGCGTTCTACATACATCTTTATAAAGATAAAAGAGCACGCAGCCATTTCTTTCAGCAAGAAAATCGGAGGAGATAATATACGTTCGCCGGGAGTGTGTTGAGAAATAAAGAACAAAAATGTAAATTTAAAAACAAAAATATTATTATATAATACCTTTCCAGCAATCAAATAGTCCAAGATACGCTGGATAAATGTTACACTATTGCGTTCGTACGAAGTGGTAACTTGTGACAATTACGACAATTAATCTAACGTTAATTATCATTATGTCTCCGTGAAGTGTCGCACAATATGTTAATTGAATCAAAGTACCTCTTAATAATTCATGTGGAAGCAATATAGTGTAAATAATGTGTTATACATATCTCTCTTTCTCTCTCTTTCTCTTTCACTCTTTTTCTAGCAACGTGTAAATTGTACGAGGTATCTAAGGTAGTAGTGACGTAAGTGAGAGATTTTTATTTTTGGCGTGGTTTCGCGCGACTCGAACATTTTCCATCATCGATCTCTCTTCTCCGTCAACATACCATTAGCGTTCCCTAGATTTTTCCCTAGATACGCACCAGGTGTTACGTTATATACTTGTAAGGTGTAACGGGATAGCGTATGATTATCGATTACGTATCTACAATAATAGGTTTACACGAATATTTTCGTATATCCTGTCGTCTCTCTATAAGCGCAATCTGTAATTAGCCCCGTGTATCTAGATGAATGTGTCGCGATTCATCCACGTGTTTAAACGCGATTCTTGCTATCTTTTCTGGCACTTTTCCTTTCATTCTCTAATTCGGTCTCTTCCGGCCGCATTGCACCGTGTAAATCTTAACTTGATAACTCCATGTGAAAAGCTCCGAGATTAGCGATTTTGCTTGAATCTTTCGATCCCCCTTTGATCGCGGCCGTAATATAGATAGAGCGGAAAAGCTAGAGTTATCTAACGATTAATCGATCGTTGGTGCAACGTTGGCTCTTTAATGATCCATTCTACGTCGATCGAGATTGTTGTAGTCACTCGCCTCTTCAGAAATCATCAGACCGACCACATCGAACGAAGATTACATCTTGCGTGAATGGTAACTACGCACCGTCGTTCGTCGATTCAATTATCCGATGTCGTTTTATGACGGTGAAATACGACGTATCATATATATAATGCGATACCGAGGCGTGTTGGTTGTTAAAACCTCATGTGAAAATTAATATATGCTCTTTGCGTTTCTTTTCTTTGTCTAAGACGTCTATTTTCCTCGAGAGGACGTGCACGTGATGGTACTTTTCAACTACGTTACAATGACGCACGGATTTATATAATTGTTGTACTTTCATTATTATTTAATACGTATAAAGGAATAAATATAAGAGACTAGCGATATATCATGAATTAAATAAAGTTAGAATAAAAAAGTGTTACACACCCGCTATATATATTATATGTATTAGATACCGCCAGCGATACTGTAAATTGAATAACAAAGATTCAAGATGACATTATATTGTATATTATATACTCGCGTTTTTTGCAAAATCAAGTACGATAAATTTGAATTCTTTTATATAGTTTGGCTCGTCTTTCGTCGAGAGTACTTTTGTTATTCTTATCGCGCATTCGATATCGATTTAACTTCTTAAGCGATTACTATATGCGTGATGCATTGCAATAGATTATGAATGTATCATTGCAGCCTGATATTCGCGATGATGTTCGTGATGCATCGTAATATCAGTTTTTTTATGGCACACAAATGCGTATCAAAAATTGATAACTGTCAAATACTCGAATTTACGTATAGCAAGAATAGAAGAGACGTCGATATTAATGATCGCAAAAAGGAGCTGTGAGACAAGAATGTAATGTTCGATAGAGAAAGCCATTACTTAAAAAAGAAAAAAATTAAGAGCTTGCACATGCGCGTGAAAATTATTTTTTTTAATTTCTCTTTTTTGCTTTATATTATTAATAAAAATGTTTTTCAGTCATTTTTCTCTTACGCGCTTCATAATTTACGTATTTATGTAATAAGATGTTTACGAATATGTCTACGCGTTATGTAAACATATTACATAGACATGTGGTGTGATGTAAAATATTTTATCGTGATCTATTCACTCGTTTTTTTTTCTAAAAACAATTAAAAAGTGCAAATGCAGGATAAGATGCACACTCGGAATTCGCGCTCGATACTTAACAACAAATGAATGCGAATAACGTATATTGCTTCGTTCGTTGATTAAGTTCGCCCGTCGCGACAAAATTCCGTCATTCGCGCGTGGACGAGAGATATCGATCAGCAATGCTCCGTTTTTTTTTCCCGAGGAGTTCCGTGCGCCGTCCATCTCAATAATCGCTCTCGATCGCGCGCGCGCGCGCGAGGACCGCGCTCGTTCGTCCTCCAAAGGGGGTTGGATAGGTAAACGTGATTAATCATATGCAAATGATATAGTTAAAGCGGGTCTATCGGCCGACTTTTCGTGACCTAGCATTCCTGGTTCAGGTTCTCGTCCGAGGCTGGCAGGCCGTTCTTGCCGGTGGTGATCGCGCCGGAGGGCACGGGGCTCTGCGGGCACAAGACATCAGGATTAAGCCTGCAAGCATTCTTGCGAACTGAATAAATTGACTAGATAAAAATCCCCTCTTTTAATCCCTTCGTAGATACAATGTCAAATCCCATCGAGATTGTCGCTATTCTATAATCATTTGATTAATAATAAATTTTTCATTATTTTTCTCCGACCAAACTGACATGAATTTTGATTGTAAGTTGCCCAACGTTTCGACTATCGGTTCTGGTCCTTATGAAATTTAAATTTAGGTAATTAATTTTGTAATTTAATTATAGCATTTGATAAAGACCAGAACCGATGGTCGAAACGTTGTGCTACTTACAATTAAAATTTATGTCAGTTTGGTCGGAGAAAAATAATAAAAAATTTATTATTAACTTTACACTGACGACTTACTTTACTTCATAATTTGATTAATGTTTCACACAATTTTATTTCATACGGCTTATCCTGATTAGTGCGCGCTTGTCGATTTACATTTTTTTGACATTAGTTAATTTTAATTGTTATTCGTTAGATTGGTTTTGGTAGTCTTTTTTTTGTCTTGTTAAAAATAAAATGCAGAGAATTAATTGACAGATAATTGTGCTACGGTTAATCTTGCTTAATCTTGCGTCGCAAATAATCTGAAGATCGTAATTTCATATTTTTGCGAAGGTAACAACCAGTAGAATCAATTCAAATCAGTAGAATATAATTTGGAAAATAGGAGAGAGGCATTGAAGAAAGCGTCACACATTTTTATTTCTGTAAGAACGGATGCATAAAACAGTCTAAAACCAACGAATATTATACCTTTTTTGCAAAATAAATTTGCTATAACTAAGGTGAATCATTAAATTCTAATTTTTGAAGTATATCTAAATATCTCATGATTTAACAATAAATCGCGAAAATTGTTTTATTTGCATATATTTATTTTTGACATTATTTATCTGTATAGGTGCAGGCCAATGATAAGTGTTCTATTGCAAAGACGCATGCAACGCGTGTTTAAGCACATATGTACGTGCGTAAATATTATATGTGAAAAATCTCGAGAAATAATATCATCTTATTAAACTAGAATATTTCATTATCTCTATCCATATATACGCGATGTATATTTTACCGAAAATTATGAGAAGACGTCGAGCGTTTATCGCGTGCAAAAGTCCGGAAGAATTTCAGTGACAAAATAATTCTCAAGACTTTTTATATTTTGCAAGCATACCTGAGACCCGCTGCCATTCAAGCTTTCCACGTTGGAACTCGTTTGCCGAAGATAGTCTCTATCGTTGAAAATCTTTTTGTCGCCACCACCCGGCTTATGTTTCACATTGTCCAACGAACCGATCTTACTTTCGGCCTTGATGTCTAATTTTTGCATCGGGATCTGTAAAGAAGATACGACAAGCCCATATTACTCGTCTATTGTTAAAATCATATTTAATAAGCGATTAACGGAGTGTGGAAATACAAAAAGCTAAAAAAAGATTTTTCCATTTTTCTCTCACAAAAAGCAGTAGTAGAATATATTTTTGTTCGTTTACGATATATGTATATTTGCTGACGCAATGTAATTAAGGACGAGTAAAAAGCGCGATATGTACGTGTATAACAGGAAATGATGATATTGACTAGAGAGTCTAAATATAAATTTGGAAACATGCAGAGAGAGAAACATGCTTAAATATATTTTTCATCCAATGTGTACATTTTACTTACGTCTATATCCGGCGATATAGATAGAACTTTACCGATTGCACAAATTGATGATAAGCGCACATTTTCGTATCTCATAAAATCGTGAAGGTAAACTGGTCGCGATCTATTACACTGATTATAAATAGCGATTTCTAGAGCAGATTATTATATATAATAATATGCATATATGCAGTCGCGTTTTTTCATGCGTATTAATTTTTACCTCCACAATTTTAATCAAATACAAGAAATTATTATAATTTTGGCCTCTCAAGATTTCACGATCAAACGAAGGCTAGAGATAAAAAAATATATAAACAGGTTGAAAGGAAAAGATAGAGAAAGCGACATACATGACATATGCATAATTCGCACGCTCTATTCCGTTATCTGGTATAATGTACTTACGTTGTTTTTCACTTCCTGTGGTGTCTTAGGTGGAGTCGCGGACTGAACACCAAGAAATAACAATGACTTGTTAATAATGACAAAAAACGATACATGCATACGAATTAGCACGAGTCGGCTTTGCGGCTTTCGATGACAATATTTTGCGATTCGGACTTTAGAAGTTAAGTGGAGTATAAGTACGACAGGGTCGACACATCTATACTATTCTTTGTCTAGAAATTTGCAAATGCTTGTAAAGTAAAATTAATAAATTCCAAGTTGTGTAGATCTTAGAATTATCCAATCTGAAAACTTATTAATTGCGCTTTAAAATCGTGAAAATATATAAATTGCTCTCTTGTGGGATCATCATTTTTCTTTTTTACGAATTTAAAATTGTTAGTTTTATATATCGCGTCGTATGCTAGCATTCCGCATGCAATTCATTCAATGAAATTTATAATAAGGAATTACTGAATAATTATCTTTAATGCTTTTGCGATATAATGAACGAAGCGAGCATTGCATTTGTAATGAATTCTATTTCAGTGAAGCCATCTGCAATTCATGAAGAAGTATTTGTGTAAATATAAAAATTTTTATGCAATGATCTATAATAGTAAACGGTAGCTGTATTACTCCTCCGTCCAGATAATTATAGAGTACTAAATATAAAATATTAATAAATATGTAAATGTATACATATAACTGCATGCGTTGAGCTACTAATGATAATTATTATAAGAGTTAATTATTTTTAGATATGATATAAAAAGTGACACGATTACATGCTAATATTATTAATTGAAGCATCGAAATTAAGAAACAATAATGATTTATGTTTTAACTAGGAATCTCACTAAACGATTCTTTGTGTGAGAACGTATCAGAAAAAACAATGACTAATAAATTATATAATATATATTAATAAATTTGATTATATAACTGGTTGCAGGTAAACATTGGTTTTTAAACTACGGATTACAAATACGGAATATGTAATCGAATTTTGAACAAAGGTTTTACCTTAACGGTGCCGCCGCCAGGAATATGTTTCGCGTTATCTTTGGATCCGACTTTAGGTTTTGCCTTGTCTTTGAAGTCGAGTTTTACCGTCTCGATCTTCTTGTCACCACCGCCTGGCTTATAAGTTGCATTATCCAAGGAGCCCACTTTGGATTTAGCATTCCATTGAAGCTTCACTTGAGCGATCTATGATTGAAAAATTTTACAATAATCATATAGTTCATTTTCTCAATGTATTTTCAATATCAAACTGTCAGTGCAAAAAAAATATTCTAAAAAATACGTAAGAGTATATATTAATTGGTAATAGGATGATTAATTAAAGAAGGATTTTGAGAAGAAAATTGACCTTTTTATCGCCACCGCTAGGCATGTATTTATCATTTTTCGCCGCGATCTTTGGCTGCGCTTTGCTTCCAAAGTCCAGCTTTCTGTTCTCTATCTTCACTTTGCCGCCGCCCGGTTTGTAACTCGCGTTGTCCAGAGAACCGATTTTCGATCGCACAGTCTTCAGATTCGGGGAAGGCGCAGCGCCAACTTGAACTTTATTCATCGGTACTTCTGTACGATTAGAAGACACATGATTATTAGGGCAGGATGTTACGTCAATGAGATGATGATGACTTTTTAAATATTGTCCTTACTCTAATTCTTTCTATGGCAATCAGTCCAATTTCTCAGCGATGTAAAAGAGATGCGATTATATTTATTTCAAACCACGACTATATACGTCGGAATTATTAGGATATTAATCAAACGTCTTAATGTGTTGACGGCGTATACGAAACTTTGTTCACGTCAGATTATAGGTCAGTCCGTTTCTAAATGAACGAAATAAAAAGTACTCACTCTTTTTATCCTGGGCAGTCGAGGAAGGCGTGTCGGGAGTTCGCGGTAATGATTTAGCAGATTTGCTAGGTGATTTCGTAGGCGATCCAGCGGTTGATCCATTTGCCTATTTGGAATAATTTGCAAAATTTGTCGTGAGAAAAATAATACTTTGATAACACTTAAGATAATATTTATATATATAAGAAACGGAGAAAAAAAGCAGAAAATTCGTTTAACGTAATATAAGATATTTACCGCTTGCGATTCGCTGCCATTTTGGATCGCTGTGGAAAGAAAAATAATATATTAATATATCGTAATAAATTAATTAATTAATTTCAGGCATGCATACGTCAGAGCTGTGTTGTGCACCGAAGCAAAGTCTCAAACATAGAATTATTAATTAAGTTTTTTTTATAAATCATTGTTTCAAATACTATAATAGAAATATAAGTTCCTATTGTAAAAAAAAAATAAATTTTATAATAAAATCTATACATCATATATTTTTTTAATACCGCCGCAAATTAAAAATCGAAAAAATAGTGCGCTTGATTTTTTCTTAATAAGTGTAAATACAGACAAATCTATAAAGATAAACAAACTATATAATGTTCGCTGAATGAAGCGAATAAATGAGAGTTTGACGTTTCGCTTTATTCATTCTGCGCGTGAACCTTTTTTCTTCGCAGACTTCTCGTCTTCCAATCTCGCCGGTGTTTGCGGACGTGGAGTTTTAGCCTTCGACGGGGACGTCGCTGTCGGGATCGGGTCCGCTATTTCCACCGATTTCTTGTCGGCGGTTTCAACGAAGGACGTTTTCTTCTTCTTCTCACCCTCGGTCTGTTTCGCGGCTGATTTCGGAGAGTTCGACGCTCGAGGACTACCACCGGAAGATAACGATCTTTGTTCCTCGTCATCAAAGCCCTTCACACCTCCGGACGATGCTGTCGGGGTTCTCGCTGAGTCCGGCGTCGACAATTTACCTTGGTCTTTCGGCATCGTAGGCGATCGCGGTGATTTCGGCGACTTGTCATCCTTGCCCCTAGAACCCAACGACGAGCCCGGTCTGCTGGACTCTCTCACCTGGAGAGTATCTTCGCCAGATTTGTCGCGATCCTCGGTGGAGGCTTTGCCACTCGATTCTATTCCGGCTGGCGTGCTCGAGCGCGACTTGTCGGGCGACTTCGTCGGGGTCAGACGCGGTTCCTTCTCCGCATTTGGAGATGGTGAGGGCTGAAGCAGCGGAGTACTCGCGCGCGATCTCGATTCCTGTTCCGTGTTTCCGCGCGGCTCCATTCCGGCCGGAGTGCCGGAACGCGACTTATCGGGAGTCTTGCTCCGTTCCGCGTTTTCGGTCGCGTCCAGGTGCGCTGAAGTGCTGGAACGCGACCTGTCCGAGATCCTGGACAGAGGCCTCGACGCTGCCTGTTCCGCGTTCTGGGACGACGGTGTGGCAGAGCGCGAATTGTCCGAAGATTTCGGAGGAGTTTTCAAGCTCTGTTCGAATGCGATACCGCTGTACGGACTAAGTGGCTTTTGAATTTCTTCAATTAATTCGAAGGTCTCAACGCTCGGTGGCCGAGGCGATTTATGACTCATCGAATCTTCGAGTAAACTTACTTCGTCTCTCACAAAATCCTCCGCCAAATTTTTCACAACGTCAATCTCTCCCTTCAAGCTCTTGATGATGTTAGGCTCTTTGCTCGATGGCGATCTAGAGAGTTTTTCCTCGTCTCTTCTTTCTTCTTTACTTAATCCGGAGGAAGGTCTGCTTTGAGAAATAGTCGACGCTACATCATCCTTCGATGCTTTATCATGATATTTACTCGCGTTTTCGATAGTGGCCGTTCCCGGCCGACTTATCGGTTGCTTCGGAACTAAGGGCGACTTGGAGCCGTTCGTCAGTCCCTCGGAAACGTCCTGATGGTGTCGCGGTGACTTCTCGCTATCCATCACGACGTCGTCGTCGTCGTCATTCTCGCCGTTCTCACGAACGTCGGATCTCTTTTTCTGTACATGGTCTTCTGGTTTATCAACGTTGGTCTCGTTTATATCCGCCATCTTTTCGATAACAATGCGCGGTCGTGGTGGCTGCTTGAGTTCCTCGTTTGACAAAAATTGCTGCCGTTGCAGAGTCAATAACGAGTCATTTCTCAGTAACGGTCTTGGGAAAACAGATTCTTGACTAGATCGTCGCGGTTCGTTCTCGGGCGGAATATCCGGTCGTTGAAATCGCAGTTGCTGCTGCTGTTGCTGTTGTTGTTGCTGCTGCAGTTGTGCTTGATACGCTTGCTGGTTCCCAATGAAGGGTGGTCGTTGACCTCCAATTCCTGGCGGTGGAGGACCACGGATCCCCGGCGATATGAAACGCTGATTTGGGGGATGCAGCGGATTCTGCGGCGGCAGCTGACCGGGTTGCGGTGACCTTGGAGGAAAGGTGTTTCCCGGGGGTCTCGGCGGACCGTAAGGTCTAAGCTGCACAAATTGACCCGGCGACGGACCTAGGGAAGAACGACTGTCCAATCGGCGTAGCGGTTGTCCTGGTCGAGGCGCGCCTATGGGACCATTATTTATCGAATTTCTGGGAGATGGTGGCGGACCCTGAGGTCGCGCCTGAAATCCTTGCGGTGGTAAAGGAACGTTTGGCTTCACCTACGGAAGAACAGCTCGTGTCGCGTATACTTGCACAAAAACATGTGCTATCGGCGGTGATTTATTATATGATATAAATCAGTTTTTATATATGTAGAACTGATGAGCTTACAGAGATAGATGCATTCGCGCTGGATCTTAAATCAATAAAATCCATTTTGGATCTTAGAATTGCAATTGTACGAGAATCCACGTCATACTATTTTATTTAGACAGATATTAAGTATTTAATATTTATAAAAATGCAATTTTCTGAACAATTTTCTGACTGTTTCAAAAACAGTCGCTATTATAGTTTGATTTGAACGCGAATGTGGAGATTGATACAATCTCGATGAAATAAATTTTCGATGCATTATTATTCTATTAATAATCATATTTTCATTGCTATATATACATAGAGAATGTATTTTTATCTTCTCAATTTGAATTCATAAATTTGTTACGATCCTTGAGCAAAGGTAGAACGAATGAATTTATAAGTCTGATTTATTCTTGGTTTCTTCTACTTGTATTTTACATATATTGATAATTCTTATCTTTTCCTTATAGACAGATAAATCATACTATTCTAATTCGACGTACATATACTTATTTTATCACAGCGTTTTTTGACATTGAAAACGCGCTCGCGACGCGATCATAATCCGCGATTTTTAATCTCAAATAACATTGCCACATAAGGAAACGAAATCAAAGGTTCTCGACGCAGTAAATTGCGATCGACAGAATTAACCCTGACCTTAGGCCTATCGATCTCTTCATCGTGCCACGATTCAAATTGCAAGCCGTATTGTCTACAGACATTTACTTGATTCTCTGTGTTATCCGAGCCGTTAACTTAAGACGCGGATTCGCCGTTCGACGTTCATTTTTGCATAACGCGTCTGACATTGCTCGTCTACCATCGTCGTATTCAATTCGCAATTTAGTTAATTTATGACATGAGACATTTCGTGTCGCGGGCTAATCCGCACGACGATAACATCGTATTTCATACGATGATAACAATGTAGAAAGTCGCGCAAAGGAGAGGGACTGGAGAGACACCGGCGGCAGCCGAAATTTCGTGATAGTGGCCCTGAGTTTATCGATCTTTTGATAAAATGCGGGTCGGTGACGTCTCGCCGTGCCTGCCACCGTTTTACTTTCGACTCGTCGTTATGGGATCGAGCCACGAATGACTATCGTCGCTTCGAGCGACGCTCTACATAGAGCAACGTTACGTTTTGCAGGCAAACTCCTCGTTATCCTCTTACGGACAAGTTGCAATTTTTTTCACTGTGACGTGATGAAGCGATTTATAATTGAACGTTGTACAGAGATAGAGATGGAGAATGTAATCAAGATATAATCTAAATGCACGCATCTGTATTGCGGTAGATTCTTCTTTTATTTTTAATGATTGTTAAATATATTCGATCTATTTTATGATTTATATAAACAATACCTCAGTCTGTGTTTGTTGCTTACCATAGGTTTTTCATGACCCGAAGCAGGTTCGGCCATACTGTTCGCGGTTTCTTGCGAGTCCATACTGACTTTTCCCTTGGACTCTTATGGAGTATATCTCGACTCGTTTCAGTATGGTTCCCCGTAAACCTGTTGCGTAAACATGTGACCAACGAGCTCTTTATAAAGGTGCGCCTGCTAGGCGCACAAACCAAGCGATCGACATCAATGCACCGCTACGTGGTGAATGAATGTCGCAGCGTGTCAGATAACGTGACAACGAAGACTACCCTTACTGTGTGTGCCTATGGTATATATTACTGGAGACTCTGTACTATGCGCGATCAAAGCTGCGAGAAAAATATCGATCGTGTGCTGGAAAAAATTATATTTCGCACTCAAATAGAGAATATCCTCAGCATCAAATTTTATGTCAAACGCAATCATAATTTCACATTTAGAACGAAATTTTACTTTTAGCTGACCAAGAGATATTTTAATTAATTAACTGTGAGTGAATTACAATATGCAGACACATGGATTGTATCATAACATTGTATATATTTTCTATAATAATATATTTTATCGCGTATATAAATATTTGTACAGGTAACATTTAATGCTATTTAATGAAAAAAGGTAATTATTTATTGATGTAAAATATTGTAAAATAACGAACATAAATGCTCATTATAATGATAAATAAACAAAATCGATATAAAATTTATTGACAAAGAAATTAATAAAAAGAGATTATATAATACATTTTCTGCTATATGTCATTTAGATTTTAGCTATTTATTATTCAAGAGAATTCCGTGAGAGACAAATAATTTCTCGCACATACATTCGTACATCATAATATAAGAATAATACCGAGAAAATTGCGGACGTTCAAGTGCTATGAATAATTCATAGTTGAAATACGATATACTCGACAGTTCTATTTGTGCCTACTTTGATATGATCCTACAATGCGTGCAATGACAGTAACCTTCAATTATAAATTACCACGCGCTCTACGTGCGGAACAGATATTACGTGTGCCGACGATGAGATTACAGTAATCAAAACCGATAGCAATTACCAACGGTGTTTTACAAGCGAATACTCTACTAGTGAATAAATAGAGGTGTGCATAATTAGAGTATGTTTAATTATTAGATCGTTCAATTTAATATTACGATAATAAAATATATATCGAACGATGATGAATATCGCGTATGAAAATATTATGTTTATTTAAAATGAGAACAAAAAATTTTTTTCTTTGCTTTCTGATATTTGTTCAACGTTTGCGAATCCAATTTGCGAAATATGTGAAATTTTGTGAATTAGCTCTCTATTAAGGATTTAAAATTACAGTATTAAAATATTAATGTTACAGCTACAATTGTGACGGCCAAGATTTAAAAATATGTTTTATCTAAATTTTTATCAGATATATTAGACAAAAAAATACGAATAGGAATTTCGGACGTTGACTTTTGCTAACGAATGTCTGGGTTGTATGGTGCATCGCGATTATCTGCTACGATCATAAAGCCTGTTATGCTGACTTTAAGGAGTGGGCAAAAGTGGCTTACTTAGAATTGAATGTAAACGGGAGAAGACACGCGAACGATCATAATAGTGTCGAATAACGAAACAGATCGTATTGCTGTAGATTGCTGGCGATTCACCTTGAAAAATAACGTCGCAGGATTATCGTGAAACGAAAAATTCGTGTTCTACAATAAAGGAACAATGCTTCTTAGACGGGACCAACAATCATCCTTTTCAATTATCGGATCGAAAACGCATCGATTTTACTTGTTCTTTTAGAATACTTTATGTACCGTTGAAATTTATTCTGGCCATTAATCATTGTGCTATGACATCAATGTTAGTCTTGAATTTGCATTTGGACTCGACATTGACCTTTTTCGTAAAGTTTCGTCATCCTTGCGTAAACACGTGAAATATTGTTATAAAATGTTTATTGTAAAGAAAATTCCGTTTGTGTAAACCAATTTTTTGTCACATAAGATATTGTTTACTTACGTGAAAAGTATATTTCATATAAATTTAAGCAAAATTATAATACATTAAAAATAGGAAAATGAAAAATAGATATGAATTTACTGAATCATAGATCTAATATAAATCATATAAGTAAATATAAACCGTTTATATACGTAGTAATATAAATTGTACTTTTGTAAATAAATTTTGAGTAAAATACTCAACAAAATTTCTTTTCTAGGGCAACCGGATTTGTTAACTAAGATAAAAGCTTTCGCGAAATGTCGCTATGAATTTCACTTTCAACTTATGGCATGCGACTTGTTAGAGGGTGGTTTGAATTACTCGCGGTCAGTCACGTCACCGGCTGCGAGTAATTAAGAGTCGGAGACATGAAATAAGCCTTAACATAATATTCCTCACGCATAAAGTATGATGACCTAATGAACCCGATGATATCATATACATTTAAATAAAAGACAGGTTTATTACATATATATTTCAAAAATAATAAGGAAATTAATGATTAGTTTGACCATACTGGCTCTTATTAATATTATTCGTCTTTATTAGATATGAGGTACACTATACGTTTCGACCTTAAATTTAGGTCCTTTTTAAATGTTAAAACAATTCTAATAAGCCACATTAAGATATAGAGATATAAATTATGTGTTAGAGATATAAATGATATGTTAAGCGCTGTGAACTTTAACATGTCGCTAAGACATTCTGTCAACTACTGATGATAGTAGTCATGACTACTTAATATATCATTTATATCTCTAACACATAATTTATATCTCTATATCTTAATGTGGCTTATTAGAATTGTTTTAACATTTAAAAAGGACCTAAATTTAAGGTCGAAACGTAGTGTACCTCATATCTAATAAAGACGAATAATATTAATAAGAGCCAGTATGGTCGAACTAATCATTAATTTCCTTATTATTTTTGAAATTCTCTCTCTCTGGCGAAGAATACAAATCTATTATATATATTTCATTACATTTTAACTACGTTTTTTAACTTTAGCATAATGTTCAGAAATTTTGGCATCACTCTTCATTATTATATGCGTATTTATATACGATCTTTTATTTTCACTCTTTTAAAGACTATGGAAGTTTCTAGAAAATATATCACAGTTCAAAATACTTGTTCCTATTTTCGTCTACATTATATACTATCTTTAGATAGGAATCTTCATGTGGTGGGAATTTTGCGCGAAGTCTATCACTATGAACACGTGTGGCCAAAGTAATATCGGATATTCAGAAATTACTGCATTAGCGAAAGCAATTCTGTTCTGTTAGATTGTGTATCTTACTTTACGACTGACAGTCTCGATTATTGCAAATATTCTAAAAATTCAGATTTAAAGACAAATTATCGGAAAAACTTTCCATATCTTTATTTTTAAAATATATATTTTTATGTTATTCCACTATTACATAAAATATAATTCAAAGCTTGACAAAATTAAGCACACAGGATTAAATGCGTACGGAATTGTCGAAGTTATTTAAAATTTTGCTACAATATCTGTTCTTAAATCGTAAATAAGAAATAGTGAAATTCGAGATTGTCTCTCTCGAGACAAACAAGGCGTACGTTCTTTTTCCCAGGTTTGCAGAATTTGCGCGAACACCGAAGAGAAAACATCTGGATGGAATTTCTAAGCATGACAGTCACTTCAACACTTTCGTTTCCGACATTAGACTAGAAAACAGGCTGCTCCGCACGCGTAGCCGACAAGTGCTCATTCCTGAAATTATTGATCCGACCTGGCGAGCATGTTCGACTTCATTATATTCACATGTGTATACACGGAAAGATGCGTCATGTATAATACGGCTAAGCTGACGCGTTTAAATGAGTGCGGAGGACTCCCTGCGAAGAGAATGCTCAAACGGCCAGGTCGGCGACGATTTTAGAACAAAGGACGCATCTTCGACCGGCTTTTAATTAAAGGGCGATCATGAATGAGATATCGAGGCAGCACGAGATAGCATCTTGCCTATTAACATCGAAGTTGAGGAAAATAGGATTCTATCAAAGGTGGAAGGCTGCGTTTAATACGCTGCTGTTGGTTGCACAATTAATCATTAAATTTTAATTGATGACATATCAGTTGTATATAATACATTAACTGTAGGAGCTAATGAAGAATTGAGATAAACGTATCAGCATCTGAATATGGTAAAAATAAAATTGTTAATAATTAAAAGAGGAAGTTTGCGATACTATTTTATAAATGAGTTTAATACATTAATGCACACGATATCTCGATTTATCTTTGATCGAATATAATGGATATGGACGATATAAAAATCAATCGTTATTATTCATTAATAAAACTAATTGCAAATATAATTAATTTCTCTTTTCATCATTTAAATTATAACACAAATAAAACAAGAAGGTTTTATGAAATCTATTCAGAAGTTTATTGCGTTTGATTAAACTACGAAGGAGATTAGTTCGGTTAACCGCGGAATTAGTTAGGCACGAAGCAATTCAAATATTTGTCAGCAATGTGTTGTCTCTCTTTTTTTCTTGCATAGAAGGACGTTTCGCGCGCGAGACATGCATGCGCTAATTTTGAGATTTTTTGTCGATTACACGCGATCGATACGAGACTCACGCAATGTAATTCTAAGGGACCTACATTCAGGTCATCGAATGGCAAGTAACAACACGATGCAATTCTCCACCGCGAGACTTCCTCGCGCGGTGATAAAAAGGAAATTTCGCTCGCATCATTCTCTACAAATTTATTTTCGGCCGGCATTCGCGCGACGTCATCGGAACTTATAGGTAGTTCTAATTGCTACTAACGATGAGAAAAAGTATTCACTCGTTATCGTATCGCTATTGCAACAGTCCTCGATGCCTATCGATGCTCTATAAATAGTGCTCGCGATGTGTTTGCGAGCAAGACCAATTTAAAACGAACGGAAAGAAAATAATAATTTGGATCACGCTCAAATAAAAATATGACGACATAAAAGTATGACACATTTATATAATAAATTACGTGCTCCGCTCGCATTTTTCGTATTGGGTTTTACGCTGAGTCATCCCCCTTGGAGGAAGCAGGGGTGGGATGTGAAATGGCTCGGTTAATTATACTTTATTCCGCACCCTTTTATGCGCAACACGTTATCCTTTATAAAATTAGTATTATTCGGATTTGGTTGACGCGAATATATGTAAGATACAAAAAATCGTATAAAATTCCATTTCTACAGAAGCGGCAAAGGAACTGAAATTCGCTGCGTGCGTTATTTAAATTTAATCGATATATCTCGATAAAATAAAAAGATATATTGAGGGTAACGGCAGATAACGACGAGGTACGGTAATGCACCAGCAGGTGTATGGTTTGTCGCGAGCGAAGTGGATATTTATCGCGCAGCAACATCTTCGAATCACCTGCGACAGGGGTAGCAACGTGCGATTGTCACGTGTGTAGGTTTATCGATAGCACCCAACAACATTTCCTGGATGTTAACCCATTTACTTGCCTTACGTCTCGCTAATGAGATTCGCGGA